GAAGATGACACAATAATGATTAACAAATTAATGAAAGATAAAAATTTAATTAATTTTGTGTGCCGGTTTTGATAAATTTAGATTCTAATTACACAAAAACATTTATTACTGCCAAAAAAATGAAATCAACTTTGTAAAGTGGAATTATTTAAAGTCAGATAGCTTCAAAATAGCTGAAGCGTAGGATAATAAGAAAAAACACTCATACATACATGTGCCTAATAAGAAATATTAAAGTCTAACAAAAAATTATATTATTATGGGAATTTCCAAGTTAACTTATCGTTAAATATGTATAAATATGCGATATGAACTGCTTATAAACAGTCGTACAATGTCCGTCCGTCTGTCTGTTTGTTGAAATCACGAAAGGGACCATACGGGAGGAGTTAGATAGTTGAAATGTTGCATAAATATTCTCTATTGATAAGGTTTGTTTGGTATTGAAAATGGGCAATATGGATCGGATAGCCCCCATATAATTGGGCCCCTGAAAAGCAGCTTTAAAGGGCATAACTGTTTTAAAAGTGCGAGTATAGCGATGAAATTCGTCATAAATAAGATTCATATGAGCCAAAATCTCTCTTAGAAATTTTATGAGGATCGGTTCATAATTGACCCTACCCCCCATATAAGGTCCCCTTGAAAAAATTACTATAACGCTCATTATAGTCTTAAAAATACGAATATAGCGATGAAATTCGCCACACACATAAGTTTAGTACGACCCAAAATCTCTCTACGAGGATCGGACCATAAATGACCCTATCCCCCATATACATAATTACTTAAACGATCATTGCTGGCTTAAAAATAAGAGTTTTGAAATTGGACATAATAATTTCATGCGGAATGTTTCGGTAACTCACCCTACCTCTCATATAAGCCCCCTTCAAAAAATTACTTTAACGCTAATTACTGGCATAATAATACGAGTACAGCGATGATATCAAGGTAAACAAGTTTTATATGAACCGCATAATTGAGGAGGTCAATAATGAGGAGAATTCAGAAAATTACGAGTACAGCGATAAAAATCGACATTAAAATATTTTTACTTTGGAACATAATTCTTCATTCTGAATTAGCACCTACATAAGGTTCACTTCAGGAAAGGGTTTTGCTTTTTAAAATACGAGTTTTCCTTATTTCAAAATACGAGTATAGCGATGAAATTTGACATAAACAAGTTCTAAACAAAACAAAATCTATGTACAATATTTTATGAGTATCGACGCAAATATTGTCCTCTTCAGAAACAGTTAAAAAATTAAAAAAAAAATGTTTTTAAAAATTAATATTTTATTAGCTCAAATAAGATCGGTCCATAATTGACTTAAGCCATATTCCAGATATCAACCTGATTTTTATAGGGGAACATTCCTTTTACGGCATACGGTTTAATGGTGTGTGAGATTCGCCACAGCCGAATACATATAACACTCTTACTTGTTTTGTTTATAAAATTTTATACATACTGATTAACTAAAAATTATAAAATGCGCACTTTCAAAACAGAGAAATAAATTAATAAGTTTGATCAAAGGTTTATATTCCACGTTTAAATAACTTGCCAAAGTTTTTAATAAAATTCTCTTTTGGAGAAAAATTTTGCAAAATTTTTTTATGTACAAAATTATCAATAACTTCTTTAATTTTATTTTCTATAATATTTTTATAATCACACACAGGAACATATTTAACACAAATATGTATAACGATAAGTATTTTTTGGTATAACAAAAGTAACAAAAACAGCAACAAAATAAACTTCTGGAATTTTTTTTTAATTTACAAATAACTTATTTTCAATAAATAAAATTGCGTTAGCCATAAGAATCAATTATTTATTTAAGCCAAATTTATATTTTACAAATCACTTAAACAAACACTCTCCTAAACGCCACTGGCATTCAGTGCTGCTTGACGAAACTTCACCTTTTTTGCGTCCACGAACATTACGCCTACCATTTTCGTCGTACAGCTCCACACCGCACATTAAATAATCATTTTGGGAAAATATTACACGATTATTATCCACAAACTCAATGTCCCAAATATGATTTGAAGGGCTGCCAACAGTATCCCAACCGGCAATTATATGTGTGTCTGGTTTCATGTAATAATACAATTGATATTTAGTGCCCAAAAGAGTAACTTTAAATTTGTTGTCATAATATGAATTATACTCTAAAACATTAGCTTTTATAAAGCCCGTATCATCCATAGATTTATTTTCATACCACAGCCATATGTAGCGACTAAACGGATCCACCTTTCGATCAACCGCCGTGTAAATATAATTCTCAAATTTAATATTTAGTAGACAAAAATACGGAGTAAAATATAAATATTTTAAATTTTCAGGCAACTTATTCTCTATCTTGTGCATATATGATTTCAATGTCATATTTACTGCAGTATATAAATAATCATTCTTAATTTTATGCAATCTGTAAGCATAGTTTTGTAAAAATTGATTTTCATTTGATGGTTTCCGTCTACTAAAACTGTTATATAGTTGAATTTGAAAGCGCAGCATAATATCGAAGCGTTCCAAATCATTTTTCTTATAAATGCTCCACAACAAATCGGGCAGTTCGTCGAAATTTCTCGTTAAACTAAGTTTATCGATGGTTTGAGCGATAATATTGTCAATCATTAGCTTGTCAAACTTTTTGGTAATATTAACTACGATTTCTTTAAGTTTAGTGTCTGAAATTGGAACATCGTTCTCAGTATTTTGTTCACTATCACTGTAGATGATTTGTATTTGAATAAAAGTAATCAGTAGAACTAGTGCGATCACTTTTGTTCTTTTCATTTTATAAGCTTTAACTGAAATGAGTTTGATAAAGATAAAAACGTAAACCGTTTTGTGTTCTCAAAAATTGCAATTTTAAATTCATTTTATAAGTTCAAGTCAGACAACTCTTAAAGTTGTCTGAGTGCTTAAATAAGAGTTTATTAAAAAATAACTCTCTTAGTCATAACTGAAGTGTTAGCATTAATGCATTCTATCAGCTGCACAGTTCGTTGTTGATGCATAAAAGATAATGAATTTTTGGTCTCCAATCTTACTAACATTGGTTGTACCTTTACACTATCTTTGTACTAATGTTTCCGACATGCTTTAACTCATATCATATATACATTAGTATATGGTTGTTTGAGAATTAGTATACACATACATACATATGTATATTAGAGGGGCCCAAAAAATATCGACTTTATTAGGCTTCAAATTATCTTCAAATACGCATATTGCTGCTGTAGGATATCGTATGGTATGGTGCGGAATCTGTATTATTACTCATTATATTTACATATATATATTTTGTTTTCATGTCAGAATTTGAGATTTTGAAAACTTGAATTTGAAAAGAAATGAGCACTTTAGATATACATACATATGTAGTATTTATTTTTTAATATTACACCATCCAACACTCAAAATTAGACACGAAGCAGATGATATAAATCTGAAACTAGAGATTAAATGAAGTAAAACTGCGTTCACAGTTTTTTATTTCGTGATCCAGTTTCCTTGTAAAAGTACTTCAAAATTTCAAAGCAGCACATTTTAAAAATAAACCAAATTTGGTATCATATGACCAAGAAGAGTTGTAAAATATTTTTTGTTATTTTTGTTTTATTCTGTCAGGATCAAAAGATGTCAAAAATGGCCTTCAAAAATTTCTCGAAAAAATAATATTAAAAATCTAAATAGTTATTAAAGGATAAACATTTTAAAGCCATTTTCGAAAGCTTTTTTCTGGCAGTATAAAATAAAAAAAATACAAAATATTTTTCAAGTCTTCTTGTTCTCTTGACATCAAATTTGACATTGTTTGATCAGTAGAAGAATTTTAAAATATTATTTGAAAAATGTACTTCTTTAAAACTTTGAAGTCCTTTAAAATGGATAAAGGATCTAGAAATGAAAAACTAAAATCGCAATTTTTCTCCATTCAATGTATCGTTTTATGTATATCAGTCGGTTCAGAGGACCTTATATGGGGGGTAGGGTCAATCATGAACCGATCCTTATAACATTTTACAAAGCGATTTAGGTTCCTATAAAATATGTTCATGTCGAATTTCATCGCTATAGCTGCTCCTTTTAGTCAGTTATAAGCGTTAAAGTCATTTTCTGAAGGGGACCTTATATGGGGGATAGGGTCAATTATGGACAAATCCTTCTAAAATTGTACAATGATATTAAGGTTCCCATAAAATATGTTTATGTCGAATTTCATCGCTATAGCTGCTTCGTTTAGTCAGTTATGTGCGTTACAGTCATTTTCTGAAGGGGACTTTATATGGGGGATAGGGTCAATTATGGACCGATCCTTATAAAAATTTACAATGATATTAAGGTTCCTATAAAATATGTTTATGTCGAATTTCATCGCTATTGCTGCTTCTTTTAGTCAGTTATGAGCGTTAAAGTCATTTTCTGAAGGGGACCTTATATGGGGGATAGGTTCAATTATGGACCGATCCTTATATAGATGCTTCTTTAAGACAGTTATGAGCGTTAGAGTAATTTTCTGAAGGAGACCATTTTCTGAAGGAGTAGGGTCAATTAAGGACTGATCCTTATAAAATTTTACAAAGCGATTTAGGTTCCTATAAAATTTGTTCATGTCGAATTTCATAGCTATAGATGCTTCCTTTAGACAGTTATGAGCGTTAAAGTTATTTTCTGAAGGGGACCTTATATTGGGGCTAGGCGAAATCGTGGGCCGATGTTGCCCATTTTAAATACCAAACAAACTTCATCAATATAAAATGTCTATGCAAAATTTCAGTCCGCTAGCTACTTCCATTTAGACTCTATCGTGTTTTTAACAGACAGACATACTAGATCTTCTTAGAATTTAATAAGGATCCAGAATATATACCTTCTTTTTTTCCTATATTTGTGGATATATTTATGATCAGTAAATAAGTATGTAGATAAAAACTATGAAACGCCATTTTTATACAAAATTAACTGTAATTTGTGAATAAAATATTTTTATTATTTTACTGAAAATTTTATAATTTTTTATTATAAATAAAGCGACAAATAAATATTAAAAGAACTTTAAATTAATAAATCACTTAAATAAACATTCTCCTAAAAGCCACTGGCACTCTGGACTAGTTGATGAAACTTCACCCTTTTTGCGTCCACCAACATTACGCCTCTCATTGTCATGCTGTTCGACACCACACATTATATAATCATTTTGTGAAAATACTACACGATCATTATCCAAAAACTCAAGATCCCAAGTATAATTTGAAGGGGTGCCAACAGTATCCCAACCGGCAATTATATGTGTGCCGGGCATCATGTAATAATACAATTGATATTTAGTGCCCCTAAGAGCAACTTGAAATTTTGTCGCATTATTTGAATTAAACTGCAAAACTTCAGCTTTTATATAGCCCGTATCATCCATAGATTTGTTGTCATACCACAGCCAAATGTAACGACTTACAGGATCCACTTTTAGTTGAACTGCTGTATAAATATATTTCTGAAATTTAACATTTAGTAGACAAAAATATGGCTCAAAGTATAGATATTTTAAATTATTGGGCAACTTCTCCTCTATACTGTTTACATTTGATTTTAAGCTCATATTTGCGGAAGTGTATAAAGTTTCGTTCTTAATTTTATGCAATGTGTAGGCGTATTTTTGTAAAAATTCATCTTCATCGGGATGATGCCGACCACCATAACTGCTATACAGACGAATTTGTAAACGTAACATAATTTCAAAGTGTTTCAAATCTTTTTCCTGATAAATACTCCACAATAAATCAGGCATTTCAGTCAAATTTCTCGTCAGCAGTAGTTCATCTATGGTCTGAGCTATAATGCTGTCAATCAGTTGTAGATCATAATTCTTGCTAATATTTGCAACAATTTCTTTAAGTTTGTTGTCAGAAATTGATATATCGTTTGCACTTAAAACATTTACCATTTGCTCAGCATTTTTAGTTCTTAGATGTCTCTCTACAATAGCACGTAATTGAGCTAATGCAAATTGTTCTTCTTTTATTTCCTTAAGAACATCATTACTTTTCTGAATGTCGTTAACATTATTCGTATTTATTTTATTCCAGGTTTCTAATAAGTGTTGACTATCACTGTAAATTGGAATTATTTGTATAAAACTAATTAATAGAACGAGTGCGAAAACTTTCGTTGTTTCCATTTGAAAAGCTTTAACTGAAATGAATTTAATCAAGATGATGATACTAGAATTATTTGTAATTGCGTAGTAAGGTAAACAAAAATTAACCCATTTTTTGTGCGGGTTTTAATGGGTTTTCAAATAACTGAATAAATAAATTCCATTTAATTCAATAACATTTTTTACAAACGTCAATTTCAAATGAACTACATAAAACAGAAATGCTTTCAGTTGGGGGTCAGCGTAAAAAATAACAACAATATCATACGTCAGCGTACAAACCAAATAGGAATTAACTTGAACTTAAAGTCTTTTTAAAAATTAATTAACTAAAACTAACTAACTAACTAACTAACTAACTAACGAAAGAACGAACGAACGAACGAACGAAACGAACGAACGAAGAACGAACGAACGAACGAACGAACGAACGAACGAAACGAACGAACGAAGAACGAAAAAACGAACGAACTAACGAACGAAAAAAGAACGAACGAACGAAAACGAAGAACGAAAACGAAAACGAACGAAAGAACGAACGAACGAAGAACGAAACGAACGAAACTAAACGAACGAACGAAAAAAAAAGAACGAACTAAAAGAACGAAAACGAAAACGAACGAAACGAACGAACGAACGAACTAACGAAAGAACGAAAGAAACGAACGAACGAACGAAAGAAACTAACGAACGAAACGAAAGAACGAACGAACGAACGACGAAACGAACGAACGAACAACGAACTAACGAACGAACGAACGCACTAAACTAACGAACTACGAAACTAAACGAACTAACGTAACAACGAACCTGAACTAACGAACGAACGAAAATAACGTAAACGTAACAAATAACTAACTAACGAAGAATTCGAAAAACAAAAACGAACGAACTAAAAACTAACGACGAACGAAATAACAACGAACTAACGAACTAACTAAATAAATAACAAACGAACTAACGAAATAACTAAGAACGACTAACAAACTAACTAACTAACAACGAACGAAAACGAAACTAAACGAAACTAAGAACGAACTAACGACAACGAAACTAACTAACGAACTAACTAACTAACACAACTAACTAAAAACTAACTAACAACGAAATAACTGAACTACCAAATAACTAACTAACTAACGAACTTAACTAACAACTTAACTAACAACGACCGAACTAAACTAACTACGAACTAACTAACTAACAACTAACTAACTAACTAACTCTAACGAATACTAAACTAACTAATAACTAACTAACTAGCTACCATTTTTTTACATTTCGCGGAGAGATCTCTAGTCTGATAAACCATATTTACAAGGACACAATATATACTCATTTTCTAGGAATTTTATCTTCAACAGAAAAAGTACCACGGTGTCAGTGTAGGGTTCATAAAATTCTAAAAATTTTACAAAACACGAAAATATTGTGGGAATTCCAAACAAGCAGTAATTTTATCGCTTAATATTTTTTTTTAGTTCTCAGAAATGTGGTTAGACATTTGAACAACAGAGTATATAATTCCCTGATAACATAGTGTTGATACAATAAAAAATAAAAATTGTTATATACATATGCAAAATATTTTATTAGAACACATATGCATTATATACACTGTCCACCTACGTGAAAAGGTAGGTAGCGAAGTCTGTATGTTTTTTGAAATGAATTTTTTGAAAAGCTTTCAGGATCAAAGATTTTTTCGAAATATTTGTACTTTTGGTAATTTTTTATTTTTATTTTTTTTTTTTCAAATGTACCTACCACAATGCTTCACTTCCGAAGTAGGTATACTTGTTATAACTTATTTTATGCTGGATATAAAAATTAATAATATAGTTAACAGTTTTGTTTCAAAAGGCATTTCTTGAATGTTATTACTTTACACATATTTTCTAGAACTGGGATTTAGGACTAAATCAATTGAAATATTAAATCTCTATCCGATAACTGTTTCGCCTTCCAGTTGATTAAATATTTATTTGAAATCCAATATTAAGCTCTCAGTGGGCTAATAAACTTCTAACTTATAAATAAGGTATTAAGACTCAATACAAATGTTTTGACTCTCTATCGACTAACTAGTTATTGGGAATAACAGCTATTAATCCATTGCAATCCATTGAGACATGTAGATAATTCTCAATTGACTAACTATGATTTGGAGATAAATAATTCATCTGTTACTTGTACAAATACGGTATTATTATAGAGTCATTTTTATCAGCCGATACATTAAAATTAGTTTTAATTACAAATATTATTTAATGCTAAAATTAAATAAAAAACAAATTTGTTTACTCTTTTAATTTGCAAACAAAAAACCTTATCGTAAAATACTATATGCATGTGTATTTGGTGTTTTTTTTTTGCGGTCTGTCATATTATTAATAATTAATTTATTCAATTATTTACATGGCTTCTAAGAAATCACATACACATTTATAAATACTTTTATACGATCGTACATACATAAGTGTATTTCAATAACCGGTTGTAGATCTTTTGCTACACAAATTACACTGTGTGACATTAAACAATTACTTAACATGTGACCATGTGCGGTTTGTAGATTAGGTTGAGTAGATCACCATATTTAGAATTTTTAATACATATACCCCGAAAAATTTATTATCTTATCTAAACAAAATGGATTTTTAATTGTTGTCGGATTTAAAATGTTTTATATCAGATTTCTTTAATCCCATTTATTCTTGTAAACAGCAATAGAAAGCCAAACTCCTCTACTTTTTTAAAAATAAATAGGCTTCGTCTTTGAGCTGAAAACAGCCTATTTGTCACAAACAACCTATTTGTCAAATTAAATTGTTTTGAAAATTTCGACCTGTACCTTGCGCACAAGCGTTACATGGAAAGCCAGCCAACTAGACGAACGGGCATCAGCTCAACCTCTGCACAAAATTGTTTATCCACTTTGATCCTTTTACTAGACACTAATTTAAATACAAAACAAATAGACTTTGAATTTTAAAAATTCAGAAAATGTTAAAATTTGTCATTTTGAACTTAAAACATAATTTTGTTGAATTCAATATTTTCCCAAAAGAAATCATATTTTACTTCGATTGGATCAATAAACATTTCTTTTTATTTAAAAGAAGAACATTTTTAGGGGATTATTCCAGATTTTCGGGGTAAAAAATATTTTAAATATGGTGTTGTAAACTACAAACAACATTCGGTTGTGTTGAGATATATTCTGTTTTTGTAATTCTGTCGCACAGTGTTATTGTTCTCAACTTGTTTTTAAGACACTCTTATATTGTTTTCAAAAAGTTCAGAAATGCTCTTAAAGCGAATTTATAAGCTGATACTCAATTTTTATGTGATAAGTATAAATTAAAGGCCTGCACAAGCCAACAATAATACGACAATTTGTTAAAAAATATCGTGTGCGACATCATAAGCACACAAAATTTTTTAGCAAATTGTCGCATTATTGTTGTCTTGTGCAGGCCATTAGTATACATACACAAAGTCTACCGTGGAAGTGACTTGAAATTATGTTGACTTATAAGAACTGGTTTTACGGGTAACATTTAAAACAACATTTATATAAAGAAAGTAAGCGAAGATGGTCAAGAACAACACTTATAGTTCATTTCATGCAAGACTGACTGATACATACATTCATACTTACATATGAATATAACTCAAAATTCGGGTATTATAGTGTTGTCACCTTGGTATCTTTATAGTGGTTTCCAAGTAGTTTATTTAGAAACTGCTACAGCTAGAGTCCTATAATTTTGTATGGGCAACGTTGACATCAATATGAACACCTGTGTTCAAAATGGGCGGAGTGGGTACTGTGGGCGTGGCACTACACATATAGAGAAAATATTGTATAGTATTTTTTAGAAAATATGTAAGTTTGAGTCCTCAAATTTTGTGTAAATTGGCGGATTAGCAATAGGGAAACTATTAGAGTCAGAATCCTCAAAGTTTGCAAGAACAATTTTGACATCTTTGTGAACAGTAGTGTAATAAACTGGTGGATTAGCAATAAGGAGGGTGTCACGCCCCATATGAATTAAGTACAAAAATTCCTATATCTTAAAATCTATTAGAGATAGAATCATCAAATTTAGCAAGAACAACTTTGACATCCATGTGAACATTAGTGTAATAAATTGGCGGACCAGTATTATTAGCTATTAGTGCTAGAACAACTTGGACATCCATGTGAACATAAGTGTAATAAATTAGAGAATTAGCAATAGGGGGCCTGATACCTCCATATGAACTACCTAAGTACAAAAATTCGTATATCTGAGAATCTATTAGAGATAGCATTCTCAAATTTTGCAAGAACAACTATGACATCCTTGTGAACTACAACAGATAGGAGACCTCAACTGTAGCACAATTGCATTAAAATCAATATGAACATTTGGTTTAAGAATAAGTCGACTAGAAACAGTGGGCGTGGCTCCTTCCATATATAATAAATACTAAAAGTCGTAAAACTGGGTATATAAGTATAACAGCTAAAAAAAATTTAGATGGTAATATGGGTTTTAGTGGGATATTATTCGTCATAGCTAAATTTACAACTTTGTTTGTTTATTATTTAGTTTAAAATATTAAATTTTGAGTTGTGTCAGTCTTGTGATAAATAAATTTATTTCGATAAACTAATTTAATATTAACATATTGTACCAACCTAAATATGTACAATATCGGTAGATTTTATTCAATACAATCTACCTTAAATTTGAATGAAAATAAGGTGGTAAAATATTTAGCAAATAATTTGGACGTGCTGAACAATAATCCCTCGAAATATGTAAAATTGGCAATATATTACCTTATGCAGACGATTTTGAAACAAAGAAAAATTATGTTATAGTGTTTTTTGATAATTCGTTTTTTGTATACGCATGAAACATATTACACCTCTCTCTCTGTCAGGATCAAAAGAAGTAAAAAATGCTTTCAAAAATTTTTTTGAAAAAATAATATTGGAAACCTGAAATTTATAGTTTCAGAAGTATATCATCTGGTTTTGGTGAACGTGTTATGACACGTTATTTA